TTAACGACTTAATCTTACCATACATTTATGTTTGCAAACTATGAACATGTTTATGTTAATGTTGCCAATGTTTAGGCATCTTACATTGATAATGTTATGTATGAAATTATGATGATGGCTCGAGAGCCTATGGACACCCGAGGGTGTTGTTGACATTTAATGTTATTGTGCACTATGATAGTGACACTAGTTAATATATATATAAAATTTTTTAGCTTAAACAATTAATTTGAGAAGTTCTTTAATTGCATAATGAGTTTTATGAATATAAGCATGATGATATTGTACGTTAATGGATGCTATAAGACATTTTTGCATGTAATGATGAATGTTTAATGATGTTTATGATAAGAGACTTGCTTGGGCTTAATGCGCTATGTGCATTTGAGTCCATGCACTGGTCACGATCTTTCCAAGAAATGGGATGTGACAATTTGTAAGGTTTACGAATGGGTTTTCAAACAAAATTTTATTTAAACATTCCAAGACAAATTTGTATTCGTTGAAATGAAGATTTGAGATTTTTGAATAATTGGTTGTGCTTATCACATTACTGCAACTTTGGATATTTGGTCTTACTCGGGAAGTAAATTCCCGAACTCTTTAGATATTTCATATGCCTAAAAGGCGGACTTGACATTGTTTGGAAATAAATTAGTTGCATTATTCTAAAAGTATCTTTAATAAACACTCTCCCTTTTAACTTGTTCCCCGTCCTCATATCTGTTGATGGAGTTATTTTATAACTCACACATGTAAGATACAATTGTAGTTTCAAATCAGTAGATTGCTTAGCTCACTGTCTTTTGGGAAGAGCTATTTCTACAATCGATTTGATAGGTAATTGATATGGCTTCCAATAGGTGTCAGCCTCTTTGTTTTAAGTTGTACTCCACTAGTCTGTCCATTATGTTAGTCTATCATGGATTTTAAACTCTATTTACCTTTTTGTAATAAATGTTATACTTTGAGATTGCCATGGAATGACTTATACTTGAAATTGCTCAAGGTGCCTTAATTGAACTTTGTATTTGTTATGCTTTCGCACTTCAAGCACAAAATCATGCACATTGATATTTTGACATTTGATATAATTATAATTATACATGCTTGTATAAGATTTTATGGTAATAAGTTATATGATGTACATTTGAGTAATTTGCTTGTTTGTTTTGACGCTTGCTTAGGTTTTGAGAGTTACTCCCATCAATACTTTACATCAATCATGGTCCCTAAGTTTGCGTCGTGACACTTTGGGTTGTTTTATGTAAAGGGGGGTTGTTCTTTGCTATGAAAAGTCTTCTATTTACAAAAGTTGACTTGAAACAGCATCTTTGTAGTCTTGTTATGAGTAATACAAAGATTTTTATTTTCAAAAAAAATTATGAAATTTTCCCATGAATTTTTTTCCATCTAAGTTACTTTATGTTTTTGTCAAACATTAAACTTCTAGAATGACTATTTTGTAGACATTGTCTCCCCCCCCCCCCCCCCCCCCCCCCCCCCCCTCTCAAATGCAAAATCCTAACTTTGCCACTTCACATAACAGATCATTAAACCTTTCGGATGCTTTCTTAAGTTGAAACTGATGCACCATCTAGTAAATTAGTGACGGATAACTTCAATTTACTTCTTTACTTCTTTTGTACAATTTATTGCAGCAATAGCAACAAAGTCGGTATTTTAATGACAAAAATAAGACAACAATATTATCAACAGAATGTAATTAGTTTTCTTCTTATCAATAGCTTCCTAATAGATATGAATGATGTAGAAATATAGTTGCCAATTTTTTACTCACATTTATTTTACAATTTTACATCAATTGGTAGTCGTATCTTGCAATTACAATTCTACATCAATCATATCTACTTGGAAGCAATTAGTGAGAAAAAAAAAACTAATTGCTTTGTGTTGATAATGTTGTCGCTCTATTTTTATCATTAAAACACTGAATCTGTTGCTATTGTCATAGGAAACTGCACAAAAGAAGCAAAAAGTTAATCAAAGTCGTCAATTGTTGATTTGTTATGTGGTCCAGCAATTTCAACTCAAAAAAGAACCAGAAAGGTCTAATGATCTGTTATGTCGGTGATGTTATTGTGCTGCTGTTATTTTGGTTGTTGTTATTTTGTTGAAGCTGGTGAAAAGTCTTGGGACAAATAAATAGATCTTACAATTCATTTTGCAATTAAGAAAGTAAACTAGATGTTTAATATTTTGAGTTAATTCTTAGGAATGGAATAGTATAGTGTAATTAACATAAACTAAATTGCTACATTTTTTGTTTCCCAACACAAATAGAAGTTGATACAATGATGTCATTTCATGATATTTTTTCTTAGATTGCATAAATAGATCAACAAAACAAAATATAGCAGGGTTTCATTTTGCAAGCAAAAAGCATTCACTACATCGTTTCATATTACAAGCAAAATTGCATTCAACAACAATGTTTTGAGATTTACATAGACTTCATACACCATTTCATCTTATAGGGATGGTCAACATTCCCATATTTAATGTGAAATAAAAAAAATAGTAAAAGTACCTAAGAAAGTCGTGTACTATAAGGTTTTGTTCATTTTAGTCCTTATACTATAAATTTTTTTTTAATTTAGTCCTTTTACCTTGTAATTTGGTGTAATTTGGTCCATATAACATGACATAAAGAAATTGACATGTACAAAAAAAAAAATCAATTTTTTGACACATCAATGCCACATTAGCATCATTTGACTCTTTAGCACCTAATGGTCAATTTGGACAAAGTTAGGCAAGAGGACCCTATTGAACAGAATATCAGAGTATAAGAACTAAATGACCAATTTTTAGATAGAGCAACTAAATTGATGAAACGCTAGAGTACAGAGACCTCTTAGGGAGTTTGACCATTTTTATGCTCACATTATTCTAACATGGAGGGTGAAATTGTCATGTGGACATATCATCATGCCACATCAATATGTTATGTCACCAGCTACTATGATATATCATATCATGTTAGTGCCATTTGACACAAAAAATGACAAGTGTCATTGTGACTAATAATTCTTAGTCAACCTTTAATGATAAAGGTTTATTTGGTCCGAAATAAATATATAAAGGCTTTATTAAACTTAACAAAAGAATAATAGCTTACTTTAATTTATCAAAATATTTCAAGAATTCTTTTATGTATTATACTTTTTTCCTAATATGTTTGATTATTCATTTTTAGTAATCACTTAATAAAAGATTTTCAATTACAAAGTGTTGAAAATCATAAGTTTCTAAAATCTACGTAATGTCTTGCCTGAATTTTATTTAAGGAAAATTTCGTTATTTAATTCAATTAATCTTATATTCTTTCCTCTTAACCATTTCTTCTTTCCTTAACTTTTACCAATGTATAAATTAATACTTATAAAATGATGTTTCCAATAAAAAATTTACTCAACATTGAATTTTCAATAGCACAATTTTATATCATAAATTGAGTACTTAAGCTTTTTAGACCTAAAGTTTCAATACCTAATTTTTCAGTTTGAAATTTTTTTTCAATATATCAAACAAGACCGCCTTCAATGACTTTATAAAAGAGCATAGCAATTACAACATATATGTTAAGTAATCTTTCTTTTATAAGTAATTGTCTATCAATGAACAGAGAAAAGATAAAGTGTGCTACCAATTTTCCAATGTAACTTAAACAACAGTAATTGACATATAAATCATTGAAAAAAGGAGAGGCATGTGAGTACAATCATAAGAAACTAGTGATTCCAAGACATTATATCTACATTTCAAGGTTTACCCTTTCAAAAAGAGTCTCCATACGTTGGGATCTAACTGAAAGTTCCTTGGTTGAGGTGTTTGCATGGCCACATCGTGTCTACATTCTCTCAACACTTGACTCTTTTCCTTCTCTCCACTGTCTTGTACACCTAAGTTTTCAAATCTTGTATTATTCTATTTTATTAATCAATCCCAAAACTCTTTATTACTTTCTCATCTCACTCTTGCTTCTTTATTCTCCACCTGTTCAATTCAAATTCAAAGAGTCCAAAAATGAATGGCTACGGCTCCAAGTATAGAGACGTGCTATATGGAATTGTAAGCTTTTGGAAATAGAAAGTATCAATATGGCAATATGGGATAATATTATTTTGTTTGACAAAGCAATTCACTACTTGTAAAGGGTATGGAAGTAATACTAATTAACAACAATTTTATGGATATTTTATTTCTTATGAGTGTTGGATTATATATGCATTTCTTGATCAATATTACAACCAAACTTCTTTCTTTTTTATATATAGAAAGCCATGGTACTATTGTTAATTAGATAGAGATAGTCCTTCCAAACCATATATATAAACTGATAACGACTACAAGTGTTTTCCTAGACCAATGAGGTGTGACCTTCGATGGGACTCTTTGTCTTTCAAACCAATAGAGAGAACGGTTGTTTGACGTATTTATAAGAATTATGTTAATATTTATTACTCCATAAGTCATTGAGAGAATACGACTAAATTAAGCTAAGAGAAGTGTGGCGAGCACAACAAGAAATGCTGTCTGATGTTCCAATATTAATTAATGCAGGTCGTCCAAACATTAACTAGTTCATGATTTAGCTAAAAGTTGGTGCAGAAGAGGATGAATGAGACTGTCTTTTACCATAGCAGGCCAACTCATCTATCAATTTTTTACTGTGTCCAGACACCTGCAGGCTTCTTCAAATCTTTGCCTTGGTATTCAAGAATCTGATCTTTGTAATAATCTACTATAGCAGCAGACGTGATGGATCAAAGGCAAGAAATATGGTAATAATCTATGCTTGTGGGCTCCCTCAGGGCATCTAGCCTGTGCTACCATATATAAACAATCAAGTTATCGGGTGGTCTTCCCTTGCTGCATTTTCTTTAAAAGTGTATGATGCTTTTTATTCTCTTGTTATTAGCCATCCGGTTATGTGCAACCACCAGCTCTGCAAATTCTCTTGCTTTCCGTATAAGAACATCTCAGCTTGCCTCAAAGAGTCTCGTCCCCCTTTTCATAATCTTTATTTATTGGTCGTCTCTGTCTCTGATCTGTCATATAGGCAGGCACCATGTTTGGTATTCAAGATTGTTCATTCAAAATCTTACAGATTTCTTCTCTTCTTATTCTTCTCCTCTACCCTGCAACAGTCTCTAGCGAGTGTACATGTGAAGTGGAGGATCTAGCACAAAATAAAGGAGAGGCACTGAAATATAAACTTGGTGCGATTGCTGCTATTCTTGTTGCTGGTGCTGTTGGAGTAAGCCTCCCATTGCTAGGGAGGAGAATTCCTGCATTGAGCCCGGAAAATGACATTTTCTTTATGATCAAGGCCTTTGCTGCTGGTGTTATCCTAGCAACAGGGTTCGTTCATATCCTACCGGATGCATTCGAAAACATAACTTCACCTTGCCTTAAAGAAAGTCCGTGGGGAAATTTTCCATTTTCAGGTTTTGTCGCCATGATGTCTGCCATAGGGACGCTAATGATCGACACATTCGCGACAGGGTATTATAAGAGGCAGCATTTCAATAAGAATAAGCAGGTAAATGCAGATGAAGAGAAGGCTGCTGAACATGCAGGTCATGTACATGTTCATACACATGCCACTCATGGCCATGCTCATGGGTCTGCTTCCCCATCTGAAGAGTTTGGCTTCTCAGAGCTCATCCGTCAACGTATCATATCCCAAGTAAGGCTAATTAAGTTGTATGTTAATTATTTTCAGTTGAATTTTTTATAAACTATATTGGAATTTTAGGTTTGATTGGGCTTTGAAAAAAACGATATCTTTTATTGCAATTTGCTGGGTATTTTTGTCAGGTATTGGAGGTAGGAATCGTGGTTCATTCAGTGATTATTGGTATATCATTGGGTGCATCTGAGAGCCCTGATGCAATAAGGCCACTACTAGCAGCCTTGTCTTTCCATCAGCTTTTTGAAGGAATGGGACTTGGAGGCTGCATATCTCAGGTATAGCTACAGCTCAAAAGCTTAATTTTACTAGTTTTTCCTCTCTCTTTTTTTTCTTTGTTTTTAATTTATGTCAGGAAAATTGAGGATCACAAGCATTATGGACGGATTTTGAGGGATAAAGTTGTAGGAAATTCCATAGGTGATATTGGGTATAGTGAGAAAAATTGGGTGGAGAAGGGCGAATATATGTTGTCATTGTGGCAACCTTTGCAGCCATATTTAGTAAAAGAAAGTGCAAACAAATGTCAATGCTACCAAAAAGTAAGTCTAAAACAATTTTATAAGTGTAAGCCAATAACCTAAGCTTTGTTGTGCTAACTAGCTCAAGTGGAATCAATTAGAATTAATAATTCATAATCTTCTGGTCAAGTCTACTTGCTTGAGAATTATTTGTAGTACGATTTCTCCTCTCTTGTGCGGATAAATACTACATTATAGATAAATCATCATCATGATCATCATCCTAAAAGTTTTGTTGGTGATGTAGGCACAATTCAAGTCTCTGTCCGTGGCAATCATGGGAACGTTTTTCTCCCTAACAACGCCATTGGGAATTGCAGTAGGTATTGGGATTTCATGTTTCTACAACGACAACAGCCCAACTGCTCTAATTGTTGAAGGGGTTTTCAATTCAGCTTCTGCTGGGATTTTGATTTACATGTCACTTGTTGACCTGCTGGCTGCGGATTTCATGAACCCAAGGCTGCAAAGCAACGTTAGGCTTCAAGTAGGAGCAAATGTCTCACTTCTCCTAGGGGCTGCTTGCATGTCTGTGTTGGCCAAATGGGCTTGAATTTTGGGTGTTATTCACCTCTCAAGGAATGCATGCCCTCCTTTTGTGCCATTCAGATTTAGTACATGCATGCCTAATGGTTTTTATGTGCTTTTTCTGCATTGGTCTACAATACTTACACCAGTGGTGGATTATTAAATTCTGCCCACTTTTTTGAATGTAGATTAAAAATCAAGGAATTCATATGCCATAAGAATTAATATGTTACCCATCATAATATCATTCCAAAGAGTTGAACTCAATTTTTGTTTTCAAATTCAACAACATAAATTCAAACCCTAGTTGCCCCTCCATACCAACCTCTACTTTATATAGACGAACAACTAAAGCCATGCCCATTTCCATCAAAGATTGATGCCAATTATCAGTTAATTTCCGTCTTGATTTGTCATATACTTATTCATGTTATCATTATCATGAAATACTATACATTACACATATATCCAATGATGTTGACAGTATGAAGTTCTTCGTGAAGATACAGTCAGAGGGAACCGGAATCATAATTTAACAGTTGAAAGAGAAAGGAAATGATTATGAAATATGAAAGCAAAAAGGAAAAATGCAATTGCGTAATTCTTCAGAAGACTAGTTGATCATTCTCTTGACATCAATCCAAAAGTATTTCTGATTCTCATAATTTTGTGACCTTCCATAGTGCTCTATAATAAATGCCATACTTCAGACATGACATCTCAGATACAATGGAACACAAAAGTAGTTCACCTCTCAACATAGAAATCAATTTCTAATGAAAAAACCGATATTGAGTTAATTCCTCAACCTCAGCTATCTCAAGTGGACAAGTGCGGAATCAACAATTTAAGGCTATAGACTAAAGAATTGCTTAGGATGAGAAAAATGAGTGAGAGACTGTGTCCCGTGGGATTGGAATAACTGTTGTTAGGGTTTCGGGGAGGAGGCTTTGGAACCCAATGGTCGCTTGGAATATTGGGCTATGGCGTGAAAGTCCTCATACCATGGAGTGCTATGAAATCAATCTTTAATGATTATGGTGTTGTGATGAATGCCCTTTTATCTTTTTTGGTGTTGGGGATTTGAAACATTTTAAGGCGGATCATGCATAACGGAATATTAAAATTTTCAATCCACTAAATCATTAATCACTTTAATTGAAACTAATATAGGAAAAACACAAGAAAAGGATTTCGACACATACCTGAACGATTGATATCTCTTTTCCTTTGGTGGAGTCCTCCTTGGTTTTCGTTTGTGACTTCTTGCACAACTAGGACTTATCAAACCATAGTAACACAATTGTCTTGCCTCCGATGAGAATCCACACAATGATTTGTCGAGATCTCTTCACTAAAAGTGAGTGAATCCCTTAACCAAAGCTTTGACTAGCAAACTCTCAACTTAAAAATCCCTTGTATTTTTCTTTTTTGGTTGTGATCTTATCTCAATTCATGAGAAACCAAAATTAGAACTCTTATCTCTCATTCAAGAGGTAGCTAGATGATCGTTTTATACAGTGAATTGTCATATTTCATATCTTACAAGGATTAGAAGATGTCTTTGGGTAACTAGGGCTAATTGGACCTTTGTTTAATTATATAAATTCAATTAACTTTCAAACTTATGTGTAACCAGGTCCAATTGTATTAAAACACATAAATCAAGT